GTACAATGCTTAAGTGCTTCTCCTAAATTTTTTGTCTGTTCAATACTTAAGTTACAATGACTCACATTGATGCTTGTTAAAGTATTACAAAATTTCAGCAATCCATTACAAATCAGTTTAAATCCAACTCCCGTATCACAGTTTCTAGATAGATTGACATATTTCAATTGAGAGCAATATGTAAATGTATTTCCTATATATCTTGCCCTTTCATTGTTTAAATTACATTCCAGTATTTCAATTGTTTTTAAATTTTTACAAGATTTCAGTCTATCAAAAATCATTTGAAATCCAGAAGTTAAACTAGTATTTTCCAATAAAGAACAAATTTCAGTTCTTTTATTTAAACTGTCAATTTCATCATTCTGTTCGTCGCACATTTTTCGTGTGTACAGATATCTGTATAGATTTCTCAATACAATATGTTCTCCGTATCAGTTGGCTGACTCATTTATCAATATTACTCTAGTTGAGCAATGACTGGTTGAAGAGGAAATTATTAGCCAATCGTTTGGTATTATTTAGGCCTACTACAGAAAAGAATCTAAATGATATGTAGAGCTATGAATATATATGTTTGATTAGGTAGCCATAGTAACGACGTAGGCCTCTCTACAAAAATCAATTTACATAAATTTTTATAGTTGTATCCTAAATAGTAGTAATAGGACGAATTGCCATTACTGGTGTGATTGTTTCATCGAAAAAAGTGAACCTTTATATGTTAATTTACAAGATGAGAATGAAATTATGACAGTTTGTGAAAGAGTCATTAACTGAAACACATCTGAAAAATAATATTTTTCACCTAAAAAGGAACAAACTGTGTTATGAGTGTCAGAACATCTGATAAAAATTCCACGACTACCAACATAATCAGACCAATTTATAAAAGAAAAAGCATGAGTTGTTGCAGTTGATGTCACACCAATTGCATCATTTTATCCCCTTGATAATATTTTATAATATCTTCCATAACCTGTATATTATTTATTGCAAATTATATATCTTCATTAGTAAGGAGTATTCCGTGGAATACTTGATGCAGGACGTTCCTCAGCTGGGCTGGAAAACTCTCTCTCCTTAGATGTTTTATGTTATTGCACTGCAATTCTACAGAATACCACTATACAATTTCACTTTTTTATTTCATGCCATAAGTCCATCCCAATTCGACTTTGCTACAAAGATTTCACAAGCAAGGAAATGTCACTCAGACACAAATGATTAAAGCTTATATTGAAATATTTTTTGAAATTGATGATGTAACACCACCTACTCAGCAGTTTAGAATGTTTTAAAAAGGAAGTGCTTTTCAATACACAAACAATTAATTTCACTGAAGTGATTATTGCGTCATGTAGTGTCTAAAGAAAAAATGGGACGTACCTGCAAATGTTATAAATGTTTCTTAGACAAAAAATTCTATATTTTCTTCACTTAGCTCTACAGAAGAACGGTTGGAGAGGCATTAATTCTATATACAAATACATTTATCAGTCATATTCAGATACGTCAATAAAATTGTATTGCTTTAATATACGAAACGGGCACAACATACTAAGAAATACTACTTATTTTGTTTGAATTTTGAATTCGCACTTTAAACAAACATTTGTAAAAAGATGCTTTGACATTTTGAAAAAATTTAACATGGAATATCAAATAGACGAAACAATTTGTGGAATGATTAATTATATGTAATCTGCGGAGGATAGTAGGGCGTTTCTTTTCCATTAAAACGTCAAGAAACAAAGGCAACCATGAGACAACAAATATCAATGTTGTACCATATAGCATTAGGGCAGTTCGAATTTCATTCGGTTTTCCCTGACTGTTTACCTGACCTTGAAAATTTCCTCTTCTCTTCTTCAATACCACTAAAATGTAAGCGTACATTAGGACAAGAACGATAAATAGGATTATTTGAAAATAGATCAATATAGTTGTATTGAATGATGTTTTCTTGTTAAATTTTCGGATACAATTAAAAGTTTGATTATTTGTTGATAAATGCAAAGATTGAAAACTATTTACTTGAAAGATATTTGAGGATAAAACAACTATTAAAAAAGTTATATTTACCCAGTAAATCAATTTTAATGATAGAAAAAATGGTCTAAAAACAAATAGCCATCTTTCGAAACCAATTAGAATTGTCAAAATAAACGAATAACTTATAAAACAATATGAGAGATAAGAAATAATTTGACATATAAACAGACTATTCGTACCAAAGGCGTTGAAAAAGATTGTTATAGGTAGAATCACTCCACAATAGACAACATCGTTACCTGCCATTATTCTAACAAAGAAATTGACAATTCTGCTCTTTTGACTCTTAAATGGGAAATGTAATAGGATGATTATATTTGAACATGTTCCAATAAATATACACGGAGTTCCAAATATTAATAGAGATTTCAATTTCAAGTCCATACTTTAGTTTGTAATATTATTGTAAGTGTTTGTGTTTGTATGTGGCGCCTCCAATCAGCTGACAACACTTTTAGACTTGGAGACTACGAGTATAGTGCCAAAAAAGTCATTAACCGAAATTGACTAGATTTGCTGCATAGAATAAATTTGTTTGTTGTCTAGATCCTGTTCATTTAAAAGAGGCCATTGTTGTTTAATGTTTATCCTCCACACGTTTTCTCTCAATCCTTTTGAATATCAATATAGAGGTTTGTCGTATTGTGTTCCACACAGTCAACATCACTTGCTAATGTAAAAATAGATTATACTGTCTAGAGCTCAATTTGTAGTTCGTATCAATTTCAATACTAGATTGAAGGAAAGTCCGAAAGGGATGTGGCTTCGCCTCCTTTCTGTAAACACTGTGTATTCAAAATGGTATATGTAAAATGATTGATAAACTTTGACAAATCGTGGAAATATCTAAACACTGTTTCCATATGCGATATAAGGATTCAATTTCAGAGAAATCTTCTTCAGATTGAAATGATTATCGGTTATTTTACCTGCGATAGAAATTAATGTATTATTATGGTTATTGGCTTCTCTCTCTCTTTCTCTCTCTCTCTCTCTCTCTCTCTCTCTCTCTCTTTTCTACAACTCCGAAGAATATCAATTACATAACAATTTGTCCGAAAAATTCCTTTTTCTTTTAGAAATCATATCCAAAATAATAAATTTCCTTTCGACATTAATTCCTTTACAAACGAAACTGATTGTCTTGGAATTTGGAACTTTCAAATGTTGTAGACAGTAATTTTGAAACTGATGAAATTGCGTGTTTTCTAAATAATATTCCCAAGTTTTAATTATATCTTCAGTAAGAGACAATTGTTTATTAATAAAGATAATTGGATTGATAAGAGTTATGTTTAGTTGATCATTAGCCTCTATTTTCAATTCCAAAAATGATAATATTGATTGTGAAGGAATCCATGCATAGATAAATTCATCAAAGAAATTATAAACAGCGCAAAATTGATGATGAGTAGTATTAAGAATAGAAATCTTTCTACCATCTGAAATAGAGTTCTTATAGAAGAAATAAATGAACAAGGTAAAAAAACAAACGTTGATGATTTATTTTAAATTCATTGATTAAAGAACTCTGACTATTTCTTGATAAAATTTGATCGACGTGAACAAAATAATCATGATAAATTGAAAAGTATGAAAGTGACGTTGCAGTTGGTTTTCCATAACCAAATTTTATTTGACCGAGTGAAAATTCTAACCAAAAATAGTTCCAGTTTTGACAATCAATTAATGATTGCAAAGCATTGAACGAGACCATGAAACATTTGGAACTAAATATCCTAATGTGTGATTGTTCGTCAGAATTTGATATAGAATCTAGTGCTAATGAAAAATAAGACTGATTACTATTACGGAAACGAAAAACTAGGGAGGAACAATCATTGTCTTGATTCCTATGCTGACCTTTAACCTGGAAGCTAAAGGTCGTAAAATTCTTCCATAAATTCCTTGGTAAATAATAGTTAGAAAATGTATCACTTTGAACACTATAAATTTTCTGATCAGCTGTTAATCATTGAAAGAAAGATGGAGGGGCGGAATACGAAACTTTATAAACTGTATTTGATATTCATAAAAACTTACCTTTTGCAAAAACCTCAACACTGTTCAGTGCGCTATTGTGATAAAAATACCCTTCTATAATTTTCAATGGGATCCAATATTCAATAGCAGAACTTCTATCATAGTCAAAACATTCTCTAATTGAAGAAGGTAGAAGTAGTATGAAATGATTGTGTGCAGAACTCCAAATTACTCTTCTGCTCAGTATATAAAAGGAGGTACATTTCCGAACCTTGTCTGTCTTGTACTCTACTCTCATTACACATAATTGTTTTTGCCTAACCTTTTTGAATACCCCTAACCCTTAGATGGGACCCTCCTAAGAACATATCAACAGTTATCTTATTCCTCCTAACCATTTCCCAGGCTGAAATCTAACTTTCAAATATTTCATTTATGGCCGTTTTCCACCGGTCCCACAGAAAACGTCCACAAAGGGGAAATTTCAAGACTAAATTTTTGATTAAGAAATGGTTAGGAAGAAGAAGAGAGCAACTGATTTGTACTTAGGAGGGTCTCCTCTAAGGGTTAGGGGTAATGAAAAAAGTTAAATACAGCCAAGAGCTGGGTTAGGGTTAGGGTAAAAGCACTAATTTGTGGACGTTTTCTGTCGTATCCCCCTTAGCAGCATTACATGCTTTAATTTAATGTGATAGTATTTCATGTTGGGTTGGATACTTGTTGCTATTTGGAATAAGAGAGATAATTGTCATTGACTGTTTGACTTTCCCTAATATTCCGCAAAATAATTGCGAAAATCGTAGGAAACAACATAAAAGGATAAAATTTATAAAAAATTTAATAGGCATGCTAAAGAAAAGATTGAAACGGATACTTAATTGATTATACAATTATGATTATAGTTTTGGTATAAAGCATAAAAAAAAACAATAAATTGTATTCTTTAAACATGTACACTACTATTGCCTTCTTTATGATCCTTTTTCAACTTGGAGGTATGAAAATATGATTAAGTTTTCTTTCTTAAATAGTATTTATGAAATTTTTTGTAATTCTAAGGATCATGTTTAAATAATGATGATTGTTTACTAAATGGCCGGTGTATTAATAACACATGTCATTGTGACTTTCCATTCGATAATCAGCTTTGCAGTATGGGTTAGAATTTATTTTATAAATCTATAATTGTTTGCAAATACTGAAAATTTACAGGTTCTAATTATCTCTATTTTAAAGGAATTTTAAACTATGGAAAGATTATTAGTCTATATAATCTTTCTTCCGCCGTAGACTGTGTTGAGATATGTAAAGACTCTGCAGAATGTGAATCAGTTGGCTTGGGAATTTATATAACAAGTCGCATCTTAATCCATTGTAGTCTTTTTTCAAACTCAAGTTATCCCATTATACCTTTTCCGCTAAATCCAATTTTTAGATCCTATTACATATTTATCTTTAAAGGTTTGTTTCAATTATTGTCTTTGACATTTTTTATGTATATATTCTTTTAACAACATAAATTAGATTCTGAATTATCTCTTTGTGGCAATGATCAAATATTAACAGAACATACTGAATATTGTATTGAGTTTCTATGGCAGAATATAACACAATGTCCAATAAGTGGATATGGATTTATTGATAATTTAAATGACTGGCTTCAAATAAATACTGGACAGTATTTAAAAGAGAGCATGAACAATATTACATCTTCTACTTTGTCTGAGAATAAGAAAAATATTAACACAAATATGCAATCTTATAGAGAATTGTGCTATGGCAATTTATCAGCCGGAAGCTATAATGTTGCATTAAATAAACAAGTTATTTTATCTGCTAGTATTCTTGAACCAGAATTGATTTACCATTCACAGCACATAGCTGATGGGCTAAAAAATTCAAATGTATTATTGGGTGGTTGTACATCAATGATATTTTCATCATGGAAAAACAGCCTATGGATAGGATTGGATTTAAAATATAAATCTTCTGTTAAAAAAGCTATAATTTATTTATCAAATAACCAAAGTAATAAATGCAGAAATATAATCTTTTTATTTAAATTTTCCAAAATTAAAATAAATCGTTTATATTTTTAAGGTCAAGGTCAAATATGTGATATATTTTCCTCAGAAAACTATCCGTCTCAGGAAAAAATTATACCATCACATCCAAATTATTTTTGCTTCAGAAATTTAGAATTGTTTTCAACAAGCGAAGAATTGGTTGTATATTGCCAACCACATACATTGGCTGGACAATATTTCATTTTACAATCAGAATCAACAGGTACAATTACAATTTGTGAACTGGAATTATATACATGTGAGTATTACAAAGTGTAAAAAGTTATACTGTATATATTATATATAAAATTTATATATACATCATTTCTTAAAAAATGAAGCCGACCTTGCCCTTAACGGTGAAATTTTAAGTTCAAGTATAAGCGGCGAAAATTATTATGGTGGTTTTGCTGTTAATGAAAATCCAAATGATAATGCTTTTCAAACAATCCCTAACGAAGAATCTTGGATTTCGGTGTATTTAAGAAAGAAATTTTTAATATATGGCTTCAACCTATTTGAAATAAACTTTCAGAAATTGAATGTTTATGTTATTGAAAGGAATTTCTTTTTGAATCAAACTTTTAACGAAGCTGAAGAATGCATATCAGTTATAATGACTGATTTATTATATTATAACTACATTCATAAAGCCTGTAAAAAAATATTGCCAGGTTTATTTGTAGCATTAAAATCAACTCATGCATTATTTCTGAGGAAAATTGAGATATTTGGCCTATTTCAAAGTGAATCAGGTAACCACAATAAAACGTTGCCAATGAAATGGTTACTAATCAATAAAAAATTATATATTTAGAATTTGAGAATATAGCTTATGGTAAACCAGTATGGATGACTGAAATCTCTCATGACAATTATGCCTATTTTGCAACTGATGGCTTTAGTCAGACTTTTTATTCCCAAACTAAAAAAACTAATCAATATATGATTGTTGATTTGTTAGAAATCTTTATAATTAATTACACTGGTGTTCAAATGAGATCTTCAGATGAAGGTAAAAAAAATTGAATCTTACCTCGGGCAAGGTCAAAGTTAAAACGTTTTTCTTTTAAAGTTTCATCAGAAAAAGATAGAAAAAGATATCTCCTTCATTTTAAATTTTTTAAAAAGAGAAGAATGACTGAGAACTCTAGCAATATTTTTGGTTCAGATTGTGAAGAAATAAACGACATACAAGAGAAAGAATGTGGCAAGACAATAATTTGGAATTGCAGTTTAAAAATTAACATTGGTAGATTTATTTATGTAAAAAGTTCTCAATCAAAAAAAATTGAATTAAAAGAATTTTACGCATTCGGAAAGAAAGTTGAATCAAAACTTTTATCAAAGAATCAAATAGTTGGAGCATTTTTTAATGAAGACTTACAAAATAATGAATTCGACTATGACAAATCACCATTGAAAGCAATTGATGGAATAGTTGGTGGCTATACATTTCCTGGATTCTTTTCATGTACTACTCTAAAATCAGATAGAAATGATCAATTAATAATCCAGCTTGCTAAAAAATTTAACATATCACAAATTCTAATTCAGCCTAGTCATGATTCTAAGAACGGTGTTTAGAAAAATATTCTACTTTTTTAATATCTTCAGTTATGCCATGTTCTTTTTTTTACATTTTTATAATAGATATTTTTGATATTCGAGTTTCCATTGGGAATGATAATACTCAAGAACTTTGCGATTACTTTTCTTCACCGGATCATATTACTTATCCAATTCAAATTTATTGCGAATCTCCGAAATATGGAAATTATGTTCTAATAACACCAGAAGATAATAAGGATATAGATATTTGTGAAGTTGAAATATTCCTTGCAAAAGCTAATAAATTACTATTTTTTCCTTTTTGAAATTGCTACAAAAACTCTAGTTTCGTTTTGTAAGAATTTCAAAAATTATCTATATATATTTGATAAATTTTTTACTATTTTTTTTATTAACAAAACACTAGATAAAAAAAATGAAATGAATTGTTCAACTATGGCAACAATATATCCAAATTCTCAACTATCAATTTCATATCAATGCCCAATCCTTACTGCAAATCAACTATTATTTGAATGTATGAATTCATTTAGAAATTCAATTTATAATTTATTTATATATAATTTCAAAAATAGAAGTTGTTGTCTTTTGAATTTATTTAGTGAGGTTCAATATTTATTTTTAAATAGTTCTGTTATTGGTAAGAACATTTGTCACGTTCAGAAGCACTATTGTTAAGTTTCTTTCTTTTGGATGTTTTGTTTGAGTTTTTCTTTGTTCCCTATTCTTAGTTTGGACCGACCTAATCACAAATCAATTGTTTTAATGTTTATCCTAACCCATTTCCATTCCAAATATATTACCACAAAATAATCTCAAAAAAAGACAGACAACTGCTAGGTAAGGTTTAAAGCAAAACCATACATGTGTTTTCGACAGTTTCCAGAGAAGTGATTTAACCATGGAAAATAAATGGAATGATTATTACGTAAGATAAGAATTTGTTAATTCCACTAGAAAAAATGGCATTGTTTGTCATTAACAATTGACTGGGTTGAAAATGTCAATGAGTTTGAGTATTTTATGGAAGACCAAAATCAATAAAATTCTTCAAATCAAAAATAGCTTATATATTGATAAATGCACGAAGTATATCCCTCTAACATTTAACAAGTTTTGTAGACAGCTTTCAATAGTACTTTTGAAATGGTAAGGATACATAATATACATAAAGAAATTATTTTCAATTATCTTTTTCATCCTGAAATAGTTGCTTATTTCCTTTAATAATGGTATTGTTGGATTGACTATCAAATTTAACGGTATAACTAGATAGACAATGAAGCTATACATATTATCTTTCATTTTAATGATCGTGACTAATGAGAAAATACCTGGAGATTTTTGAATAATTAAGAATTAACAGTAGATGAATTATTGGGCATGAGCAATAATAAAATTGATATTAGTGTCCATAGGGCAATATTTGTAAAAGCTAGAATAAACATACTAACTTTAAAACTGACTGATATGGTGATTTTGTTTTGTGAATGTGTTGCTTTTGTTGTATTTATATTAGGGTCACCCAAAAAATTCTTGTCGTTTTTATCTAACAGCTAAAAAAATTACAAAAAATCACCTCTCTATTAGGCCTGATTCTATTAATTCTTTGTTTTAATCACTTTGGAATATTGATGTAAATTTCTGAATTTATTCAAATATATTCCAGGTGAATAAGCCTTTCCCTATCCCAAAACACACATGCCATTAGGTTGTCTGCCAACTTACCTACCTTAACCTTTTTTGGCAGTGGTGATAGTTTTATGTGGTATTCTAAAGAAGCTTTTTTAGTTAATGGTTCATGATAGAATACCCATGTTTCATCTCCTGTAACAATTTTTGACAAAAAATTCTCTCCTTCTTCGCCATACTTTTCTAGGAATTCTGTAGACCTCTCCACCCTTATGTCTTTCTGTTCCCAATTAAGTTGGTAGGGAATCTATCTTGAGACAATCTTTTTCAATCCAGGACTTGCAATCAAACCTTCAACAACTGAATGGCTTATATTCAATGTTTGAATATCTCAGCCTGGCTTATTCTTCTATTATCTTTGATTAGAGCAATAACTCTGTCCTTATTTTCATTGTTACTGGCTGTTTTTAGGCATCCTGGTCTGTCTTCATCAAGAATATTTGTTCTTCCTCCTTTAAATTGTCTAACCCACTTTCTTACAGAGCTAATGCTAAGTGTTGTACTACCAAAAAAAGCTTTCAATTGCTTATGAATATTGATTGTAATAACTTGTTGTGATACAAGAAATTGAATAATTAAATAATTACTCTCTGCTTCATACCGTCATTCATACTGTGCAACAAATGGCTGACCATTGTAGTTGACAACAAAATAACAATAGCTTAGTTTAGACGAAATTTTGAAAAATTGTATACATTTTAATTAACATATTAACTAATTAAAATAATTAATAGTCCATTTTCACCTGCTTCGCATCCTCTATTGACGACTCTCAATTTATCACCTTTATTCATTTTTAATAATACTTCACCCATTGCAGGAGTCTCTTTAATAATGTAAAATGTATGTTTGTAGAGTGTTGTCTTCTTCACTCCATTCACTTCAATGTAGGCTTCTTCCGATTCTCTTTTCCTAAAGAAAGATAGATTTACAGAAATGAAATAAGTTCCATTCTTTGGAGCAACATAGGTTTGATCACTTGGAATCCAAGAATTGTCTGAATCGAATTTTACTGAACCAAAATTGATTGAATCTGGCTTACAAGTTGAACCCTTTTCTCCTTTACTGTAAAAATAAGATTTATTCGAATCTAGCTTAAAGAGAGTTAGAGAAGTTTGCAAATCAGTATCTGAATATAAACTACCAGAGCCCAGCTGTAGTTCAATATCTTCTCCTGCCTGTAAATTTGCCAAAAGACTCATTGAAGAAATAATCGGATGTCGGGTTATATGGTGAATTCTTATAGAATGCCTCAATGAACTTTCACTACTTCTAATGGTTAATCTTGACTCTGCCAGGGCATTGAAAGCCGAACTGAAACCAATAAAGTAAAGACCCGTGCTGAGTACATTCAATTTGTTTCCATGCTTCTGAAATCCTCTCAAAGCCATAGTTATTGGCAATGGAATAACACTTTGATCTTCCCACTCTTCGTCACGTGCTCCAAAGAAATAATGATCAGTGTCGTAGTGAAAGCCAGCCCATGCCGTTTCTCTATTATTTCCACCAACCAAACCAGATGTAGTAAAAACTTGTTTAACATAAGGCCTGTTTAATGAAGTTAGCAAATGAAGACTGCGCTTATTAATTGACTCTCTTCCATCGACTTGATTATATGTTGTCATTCCAGACCTTCTACCAGTTTTCTCTAGAGAAAATGACGCTCTAGAAGTTTTTGATAGAGTCATTGTCATAGTCAAGTAATATATTCCAGTTTTAGTTATTTCAAGACTATTGTCTAATGTATTAAATAGGTTTTGATGATTGATGTCAACACTTGTCCATTTAACTTTGGCATTTCCAAAATTTCCAGATTCTTTGAGTGAAACAGAGAAGGCTGGATTTTCCTCAGAAGTTTTAACAACTTTTTGTAAACTGTTGTTGTTGTCTAACTCTCCATTAACTTGAGCAAAAGTCAAACATATCATACAAACTAAGAAAAAAGAAAAGAAAAATTTTGAATATTCACTCATCAATTGCTTAAAGAAGAAAAAGAAGAGAATGGTACTCACTGACTATAGAATGTAGCATCATGGTTGTTCAACTGTTGGATAGGCAATGAAACAAAGCTTTTTTGCAACCTCTTTTTATATTCATTTTTCAACATTAGTAAAAGATGACTAATGTTAAGATGATATCATTAAATTCTGTCCAATTCAGCAGTTTGACAGATAGAAAAACCTCTGTTTACAACATGATTCAGATTGTTATCAAATGAACCAAAGATATTTCTTATCAATAGAAGAGATAGGGAAAGATAAGAGGCAAAGTGAATAAAATATGTACCAATCCAATCTGATTGATGGAAAAAGAACTTAATTGTCAAAATTTTGAGGCTGGCTACTGAAAAATTTCTTATTAAAAAAAGATGTACATTAACCTAGAAATCTCTTATAGGCTATTTCTATTTTGAGTAACATTGTATAAGCATCATCAAAGTTTACTAAAAGTTGGCTAACTAACATTTATTTTCATGAAATGTCAAGCAAGATGGAGAGAATGAATTGTTATAGTACTTAATTCTAGTATATTGAAATATAAGACGGAAAATATAACATAATCGTGATGTGACTAAGAGGAACATCTGGTAAAGATAACAGTCTTTGAATTTTGATTATCAGCTGAGATAAGAAAATAAATTGTGATGAGAGTTATCTTTTTTTAATCTCTGGGATAAAGATGGGATAAAGATATAAAAATGGCAATTTTTCATTCTTTCTAATCATTCAGTAACAGAATTTTCTTCAGTCCTGCAAAAAATGAAAATGCTTTATTCCTGTTTGATTGTGGCCTTTTTTTGTTCAACTGCTTCTAGCAGATTTGTTGATTTACCTCTGAATAAAAATATGAATGATTTTAATCAAGAGGCAGCTGTCATAAAATCAAATAATCCAGCGTTTATGGTTTCACTTGGCAAAACTGGAAATGTTGGAGAGGGGAGAATGAATTGGGAAAATGTGCACTTAAACTCTCAAAAATTATTCAATCCAGCCGATAATAGTCTTAATATAACAAAATCTGGAATGTACTTTTTATCGATGACAGCAACAGTTGTGGAAACTTCCAGGGTGTCTCTTCAGCTAGATGGAACTGGTAGAGAATTGGGAATGATGAGACAAAAGTCGAATAATAACCTTAATACAATTACAAGAGACAGTCTATTTTTTCAAACAACTTTAAATAAGCCATACGTTCAACAAGCATTCAATACTGCAAACCTCACTGGAGGTAATAATACATTATGGACTGGTTTTCATTATGATTCAAGTTCGTATTTCTTTGGCGCTCGCGACGACGAATGGATGGAAAAATCATCGCCAATTCCCCTACCTATTATCATGGCTATGAGAGGTTTTAGATTAGAAAACAACAACATAAAAGTTAGCGAATCTGGTTTATACTTTGTTAGCTTTGGTTCTGGTTTTAATTCGGCCGATGACACAATTGTCAGCTTTCATATAAATGACAATAAAGAACAGTATAGAAGCATTAATACATTCTACATGGGCCGTCATACAACTCACCATACAAAAAGTTTTCTAACCTATCTACAAGCTGGAAACAGTGTTGGCCTGACTCTAGCTGATGGAACATCCTATGCCGATGCTGATTTGCAAACTTATTTAGCTATATTCAAGTTGGACAGTGAAAAACCTTACTTTTGCGGCACTAATAGTTTTGATATTGATAAATCAGAATTTGTAAGATTTCATAATATAAAATTTGATTCTCACAATTCATGGAATAATATTGAAGGAAAATACGTCGTTCCGCAATCGGGAACTTATTACGTAACTGCTAACTTTCCATTCGAGAGTAATAAGCATGAACTAGACATTGAAATAAGAGTTAATGGAAATTTACTGTCAACTTTCTACGCTGGTCAAAGTAACGATTACGATCCATATTTATCATCAACCTCAATGTTACTATCCTTGTCGAGAAATGACTTTCTACAAATAAAAATACAGGGAAGTAATACAAAAGCTGAAAATCAAGGAGTATTGTCAATAGTTTATATTGATTAAAAAATTATACATTTCCTGTTTTAGATCAATAAATATTTAATTAATCAATTTTCACTTTATAGAGACTATTTTCTTTACAAAATTGAGTTTTTGTAGGTTAAACCTAGCACTATTAACCTAATTCCTTTCAGTAGCTCATACAGATAATCTCACTAGCGACATCTATACTGAATTTTTAAAAAAATATTTTCTAAAAAACCTAATTTATACTTCAAATGGTAGAACTTTAAACCAAAATATATCTAACTTGTGGTTTGATAGATAAAAACCAGTTTCTTAACTTTTGTATTATCAAGATAATAAATAGGAATTTATGGAATGAGTAACATCATAATTCTAAAAAGTGCTAACTAGTTAAATAATTGAATGACAGAACAACTAGACAAATTGCTCTTGTTCAATTTTTTATTCTTGTTCTTATATTGAATTATTGAATTGTTATAAAATAATTTAAAAGGAGCAGGAATACTTGTTTTTCTTCCTTTGATTTATCGTATTATGTTTCTATTTAAACTGTTATTTGTGAATAATTGATGAATTTATGGAATTGGACACTTTAGCAAATCTTTCCTTCTCTTTCTCTCTATTAGTAACAGAGATGAAATATTTTACATTAACGTTCTTCTTCACTTTGCTCTTTTTATTTAAATTAGTAATGATGTAAATCAGAATGTAAAACTACATGCTCCAACTGAAAAGATTGGGAATATCTCTTATGAAAATATGGATCATTTTGAATTTAACGAGCTAAAAGCAATTTATAAAGATTGTTTTCAAGAAATGTCAATTCAGGTTGAACTTTCCATGGATATAAAATTACATTTTAAATTTTCAGATAGTACCAGTTTTACTTTAAATGAATTGAACGATAATATATGCAAATGATTAATTTCTGATATATGCCTACCAACTAACAACGTGTCTAGAAAATGTGTTGATACTGGTATTAATCAGTATGGTCAAAGATATAATACTTTCGGGAAAATTGCAGTTTTATCTAAAAGATTACCATTGATTCAAACTAGATACGGTGATATCGATGATCCCCTAGAATGGGTTAAACATTATATTGGTCCTCTGCACTGCATGACCCCCCTATTTCATCCCTTTCAAATAACACACAATGAGTGTCATCAAGATTTGTCAATATTAGTCGACCACAATCGAAATTATGCATTGAATTTCAATCTCAAAATCTATTCTTTCGAGTTGAACAGGCAAAGAATGTTCAAATCTTTCCAACATTGCATTCTGCTCTAACAATTCATATATATTCAAAACTCCAAAACGGAAAAATACGATTCTGCACCGAAGTTGATAAATTTAAATTTTATTGTCAAACTAATTCAACTGAAATGTTTATTGATGTCAGAAATCATTTTAAATCTGACATTCAACTTTGTGAATTTATTATGTCAGTTTAAATTTTTTATTCTAATTATCAAAACTTTGAATATTCATGAGTATATAAAATTTGTCACTTTTATGTAATAGGGAGATAATAAAAGTTGCTTTATGAAATAATTAAAATTTTTAAATTTTCAAACGACACAAACGTTATGAATCGTAGAATGAAGCACTTTCATTTTTTAAGTGTATTTAGGCGTAATATTTCTCAATTAAGATCATATTACTCGATAAATTTATTTTTTTCCATGAAAAAATTCCCTGATTAGCCTGAGAAACTGTGCATTTTTAAGTGCAAAGAATGAAGAATTCCGTTGTGATATAAGATTGTTGAGGTTGAAATTGACTATATACTGTATGTTAACACGTGATCCATTAAAAGGCTGAATTCAATAAATTAATACATTTATGTGTATTCGCCTACTTGACAATAATCTAACATGTTTTATTGGTGGATTAAGTGTACCAGATGACGATAGTTATGATTACACAAAATACACAGGCTATTTCAAAAGCAACAATTGCAGGTAAAACCCTAGCTTACAAAGATTATACTATCAAACTAAAGGCAGAAATTGTTCTCCTCTATGATAATGAAAATGTGTAAATTATTGTAAAGTAAGAACAATTTTTCATTGGGTTCTATCTATAAAATTGGTTGTATAAATGTCTTATCCTTCATTCTAAACAAATAAACAATTCACTTTTTCCACTCTAAAAACAACCCCGGCAGATACTTTTTATCAGGACTGTATTATGTAAAGATGGTAAAGAAGTAATTGGGAATACATCTACACTCTAATGGATCATCAAGTCTATTCCAACTTTAATTCTGTTTTAATTGCACAATGAGAAGGAATTTTTTTTTATTTATAAGAAATTCTTTTTTGTAAAAGTTTCTTCAACAATAATCCAACGGCATAAATATCCTTTTCAATCGTATCATTCCTATTTGCTACAATAGTACGAACAAGAAGAAAACATTTTATCTTTCTCTTTTCTTCCTGAATCATTTGATATACGGAAAAATTAGGGTTTTTTCTTCAAAATTTACAAATATCTTCCTTCTTTTTACCTGAATAAAAACACTTTCAAAGTCAATTTTCCCCAGAAATCCAAATTTAAAGTCATGACAAAATTTTACTGCTCTGACAACTTGTTTTAAAGCAGCAGAAAGAAATTGATAGGATATGTATATTGATGATTGTTTATAGATATCCTTGAATGTTCCATAAGAGACTGAGGGGGATAGTTCAGTAAGAATGTGATATTTATTCATATTATTTAAAAATTCAAGAACTATAATGAAAAAAAAATGCAAAATAGAATATTCAAATTTTGTTCTGTATAAAATACTAACAGTTTGATAATTGATTTTCTTCAAAGTTTAGCAACTTTTGCCTTCTGAGGATATAAGATATTTTTCTATTATAAAAATTGCAAATAAAATGGTATACTGACATATATTCCTTCTTCTTTTTCCTTTTATTATTCAGGTATGTTTTTACTACATTCCATGAATATAAGAATGGATTTATAGCAGAATTCAATGGTAGAATTATGATAACAATTCCAGCATATACCTCTTTTTTAATTCTTAAAGGTCTGATTACTGAATAGATTCCTGAAAACGGGTAATTAATTATTTTTTTTGTGTTTATTATAAAAACTTTGCTACTAAAAGAAACCTAAAATTGAAATTGGAAAACAGCAAATTAAATTTGTTATTACAGTTAGAAAAACATAAATTAAAATGGATTTTTGTTGATTTTCAAATATTTTCTTTTCCAAAATCTCTTTATTTTCGGTTGTCCTTTTCCAAATTCTTAGATATAAAATCATAATGAAAATACAAACAATCGAAAGAAAAATACCGAAAACAAAAAATGAAAAAATCCATCCTTCAGCTCTTTCACTTGTTATGTGAATGGAAAAGCATACTGGATTTCTTGAATAGTAGTCCTGCATTAATTTATATAGATAGATATAAAGAAAGTTGTACAAAAATTGGAACACCTTGAATTTTGATAGGCCGAACATTAAAAGTTTTGTTCACTATCAAAAAAGATTATTTTTTCTCTGCTAAATATTATTTTTCAACGACACCACTGTCTCTTTTTATCTTCCTTACTTTGAATATCCCATCAGAGGTTATCAGTCCCCAAACCATTACTCAACCCCTGCCCATATTTTCATCAGCCTAAAGTCTTTTTCACCGTCATCTGTCCACATTCAGAAGTAATCTGGTCCACTGAGTTAGAATCAAGACTCATTGGTAAAAATTACTTTAGACCAGTCTAGATTATCACTGATTTTTTAAGGTAATACACTTTTCTTCTTTTACAATTGTTGGCTGTGAGATCGGGTTTTTGTCTTTCTAGTTTATACTTGAAATTTTGTCTTTTCAGCTCCCTCTGAATTGTTACAATGCTAACATGTATTTCCGATTCCTTTAAAATTTTTCCTGATATCACCCTTTGTTTTCATGTTTTCAATTTCTTTATAATTCTCTCTATATCTTTTTCTGTAAGTTTCTTTGTACAACCCCTATTCTCCTGTTCTGGTGGATGGTATCATAGAATATTGCTAACTGATAAACTTAACTTGGAAAATATGATAAGTTAAAAAAAATTGTTTAAGATGTTTATTTGAATGCCAAACCGGATGTTAAGTCAGTGTCCCAATAATTATGGATCTCACTCAGTCAAATAAAGAAAAAATTGATGAAAATCCCTCTAAATATAACTCTTTTTTTATACAAATTTGGACAAAAAGCTATTTTTGTGGGAACAAATACTTTTGGCAGTGAATTAAAATTGGCCTATCAAAATTTACAGCGTCCTATTTTTTATGCAGCTTACTTTATATACTGTAATTATATATATATGTAGTCGATGAATGAGTAGCAAGTGTAGGTTAAAGCTATTTTCACCAACTTTACCGATATATGCGTTAAAGATTTAAGGTATATACTAGTAAATATAACAGTAATAATAAGTAATAATGTGTCGAAAATAACAAAGGGTAATGAAATATGGTTAGGTTTAAATATATATATAACGTAAAGTAATTATAAGATAACGTAAAGGAAATCTGGCTCGCTGCCAAATTTAGGCGATGTACCCATCGACTACATATATATATACAGTATATAGGGTTAGACTGGCTTGAGTCTGGCTGCCTTTTGGAGGTTTTTGTGTTGGTTAAAGTAGAGATAGTTTAAGCCAAACCCAATACCAATAACCTTATTCTACATAAACCAACAAAAATCTCCGCCAGCCATTTTGAATTAATACCTACATCATAAAAAATGTAAGGTAAAACCGATATTACAGCAGAAGTTACAGCAATTGCAAATATAAGCGTAACAGTGACTTTTCTTGTAAAGATATTAAAAAATGGATAGATAACGTATTGATATCGCTCAATTGTTATCAATAATATACTAAATATTGATAGTAATAACATCGAACTGCAAAATATACCTAAAAATGAACAACTAAGACTATTTCGCCATTCGTAATCATTCTCAATATATATTCCTCTAAATCGTAAATCGCAAATACCAATTATCAAGAGATAAATAGACATTCCAAGATCAGCAAATCCCAAAGTGAAATAGAACAAATTCTTTTTCTTTTCAGTCAATTTTAATCGAAAAAGTAGACAAACGACATTTTGAAAAATTGACGCAACGCAAAGAAACCATAACGATACTCTTAAAAAATTCGAATTAAATAAATCAGAGCAAGAATTAAAAAGTGACGAATTCGGTTGGCATTTTTTTAAATATCTTGAGTACTTTTCCCCAAAACAGCAGAGCGTAAAGTAATTACTATAAATTTGTTCTACTACATCTAAAGGTTTGATTAAAGATACTCCACTTATCATTGGAATTTTTGAATTTTTTAATGAAAGTATTTTCAGGTTTTTTAACGAAATAAATGAACCTTTTGAAATGGTTTTAAAAGTGCATTTTTCCAATTTTAATACTTTCAATAATTTGAGGCCTGAAAATAGATTCTCAGTTAATGAATTTAAATTAGTGGATGAGAAATCAATTGATAATAATTGGCGATATCTTTGAAATGAAAAGCTTTCGGATATTGAAATTATACTCAATTTCATGTCTAGATGTTGCAAATTTGATAAATTTTTATTAAGTACAATGTCAAGGTCAAAGTTACTAGATATCAATCCCATTTGGAAAACATTTGGAAATTTGTGGGAAAGTGATATATTTATTAAAGTGCTATTGTAAATTGTTAGATGAGTTATTGACATATGTTGTTTAAGATCAAGGGAAAGTTTTCCATATATCAAGGTAAGTTTTTTAAAATTCCAAGATATTTCTCCAACATTAATAAATTCACCACCAAAGGAACAACTGATTATATAATTTAAAAGACATTGACAAGTTTCAGGACACTTTATTGTAGAGTTGCAGTTTAATTCATCACTTCCTTTCCTACAGTCAACAATACCATCGCACACTTTATTAATACTTAAGAAATGATGATCAATTTTACACTTAAAATATCCCCTTGGTTTGAAGAGATCTTGAAAATTTGATAAATGAATTGTTAATGAAGCTTAAATGAAACCCTCTCTAGGTTTATCTACCGCAATTTATTTCGTCATCTCCATAGATACAGTGAATAAAGCCATCACAAATTAAATTTATAGGCACGCAATAGTGTAGTATCTTACATCTATACTCTCCACTTTTACATTGGAAATCTTTACAATGTGATAATTCATTGAAAGGATGATGAACTTTTGTCATGAGAAAACCAGTTGACATATATTGAAGTCTACACTTGAATCTTTCACGATTGAGTAGTGCACTTTTGAAAGTGCATACTTGATTATTGTTATCACGGCTCTTAAGATATTTATCGAAGCACTTTGAAACTCTTTCATCTTCTTCGCTGTCACAGTCCAATTGGAAATCGCATGTTAAATCTATTGGAATGCATTGACGGTCGCAAAGCGATTGGAATCTTTTACGACATTCTATTGGTGTTATTTATGAAAAGATTTTTTTTATTATTTCTATTTATATAACATAGCAGACCTTGTTCTTTTCCTTCCAATGAAATATATGACCTACATTTTTCGTCACTAGCATCTAAACAGTTGATTTCATTATCACAAAAAAGATTTCTTTCCATGCATTGATTATTTTCACATCTGAAAAATGTGAAAATTATAGCTCATCGTTATCCTACAAATGATTTGAAAATCAACTTTTTTCTTCCTTCAGAGCATTTTTTCCACTCTATTAAAGAAAGACAAAGTTTTTCTTATTATTATCGAGAGGGAGTGCTGTTCATAAAGTCACAGACGAAAATTTTTGTGTGATACCTTTTTTTGATAATATGAAGAAAAGCAACATTTGTTCAAAAATGAAAATGGTTCAAATGACTAAACTTTTCGTTTTTAGGTTCTAATTAGGTTCTTCATAATGACACTGTAATGAATTTCTAATGTTTGTTTTCATATATAAAACAAAGCTATTTTGATTAGTTAAGGTGATAAATTTAGTACATATTATCAAAAAGAGGTATTACACAAAAATTTTTGTCTGTGACTGTATATAGATATGTATATATTTACCACAATTCTCCTCATCCATTCCATTTGGACAGTCATGAACAAAATCACAAACAGATTGAAAACTTATTTGTAATGTTTCAGAGCAAGAAAACTGTTGAGTTATGTTGCAATCAATTTCATCTTCACCCGAGAAACAGTCATTAATTCCATCACAAACATAAATAAAAGGAATGCACATCACATCACGTTTGCATAAAAATGAGTTATTAGGGCAACGAAACGATTCGTGATTTAAATTATTAGTATTATTATTCAATTCTTCATGAATATTCAAATTGAATTTTTCATTTTCTAATAGTGATAATAATAAAAAAGAATAAAATATATATTTTTTATTAAAAAAATAAGAGAATAGACTACAAACTTTTCTTTTGTTTGCAAAAAACATTATTAAACCGTCTAACATTGCAATTTAACCTTTCTAGAAAAGCGTTGATAATCCATTTTGCATTACTTACAATTTGTTTAGCCACAAAACATTTGTCAGTTCTAGCCAAATAGGGATGGAAAATGTTTTGCAAATAAGGAAAACACGTTGACGTTAGTCTGTATTGATATATACAAATTTAAGAAAAATAACAAAACTAAGCAAAAGAACAATTACAAATTTTTATTAAAAATTAGAGTAGTACCAATTTCATATGGTCTATTATCGCTAAAAACCAACTTTTTTCTACCTCTAATGTCTTTTTTAACTTTTAAAACTTTAAAAAAAACAAGAAACAAACTATCAAGTAACTGAAACATTTTTTAAAGAATACTTCCTGGAAATTCCCTCTTGAATTTTGGATTAGGATGGAGTCCTTTTCTATCTTTAACAACAATAAACTGCATTTGGTCATTGAGCTTACTCATAAAATCATATTCATCTGAGTAAAAAGATGGAAGAATCATATCTAATTGTTGACAAATGTTGGAGGAATCTTCTGTTGAGATTAATTTTTCACTTTGATATAGAAAATAACAAGTATCTTGGAAAGAATATGATAAACCATTCAATTTACAATCTTGATAAAATATTAATTAAGAGAAAGAAATTTTTATTTCCTAAGATTAGATAATCTTTTTGGTTAATATTTATTTACCAATTTCAATATTATCTTTGCACTGTAGAACAATAAATGGATTTTTATAGAGAACACCTGTTATATGATGCTGTCTGAAGAGGTACGAAAAATATTTAGTGAGCAAGTGTGCTTGTATATTTTTATCTCTCTCTCTCGCTCTCTCTCTATCCCATTCTCACTATCTTTCTCCTTCTCTTTCCTATTCATACCCTGTCCTCTATAAAACTCACATAAAATTATTAAATTTATTTCCTTCAAGCATGGCAAGAGTGCAATTCCCAATAAGAAAAGTTCCATTACAATTTAATGAAAATAATTGAAAAGTTTCAATATTTTGGTCATCATTATTTGTTGTCACTGTACCACTTTTATAGCCGAAATATTTACAAATTGCATTTACTTGTAAATACTTCATGTCTAATAATTGTGTATTATACCAATATTCATTATAAAAAATTTGGAATACTCCTTCAAAATTCCCTCTAGGTCTTTCATTTTTATTATATAAAGAGGTATTGAAATGAAACAATCTTAAATCCATGTCTATAGACAAAAAACTTGTCCCTTTTTAATTGAATTTGAATTTGAATATTACTTGAAAAATTGCGTTTTTTATCTTCACATAAAGGTGCTATTAAATAACCTTCTCTATGAGAAACGTCCAGAATTTTGCAATTCCATAATTCTGAATTATCCCATTTACAGTTACTTAACATTGTTGCTCCAACTTGATCTAAATGTTGATTAATCTTAGGTTGACATCTAGCCAATGAGCCAACCGTTACTTTTCGATTATTTGGGATAACTGGTTTTGCCAATTGTCCAGATAATTTACAAATAGCTTTAGCAATGTTAATAAAATCTTCATCTTTGTCAAAATTCAATGGCAAATAGCCAAATGTTTTAGATTTTATAATATAAGAAAGTAAATTTTCAATTCTAGGCAACATTATTTTTTGATATTTCGACATCTTTACTATTTTACTATCTGAAAGAAAAGAATATTTAAATATATCTCATTCATTTTTAACCTTGACATTGCGACCTTTTAATTCGTTAAAATAGCAAAAAAGTTTGTAGATTTTAACTGATGAATTATTTTGGTGTTTTGTTAATTTTTCAGAATTTTTGTCAAATGTTAAAAAATGTTTAGAATTAATTTCACTTTTTTTAAAATTTCTTTTAAAAAATTGACTTTTCTGACAAAATAATTTTCTGTCTATATTATTTGTAAAATTGACTTGATAAGTATTTTCATGATATCTAGATAATATTTCAAACGATTTGTCATTTGTTGAAAGTGAAGATGCAAAAAAATCTGTAAGTAGTATATTCAGAAAAAGATAATTAATTAATTTATTTATTTTAACTCATTTACATATTTTTCCAATCAAAAAACATTTAATGCAAAATGATTGATATTGATAAGAATATTTCAACAGTCTAAACCTAAACAAAATGAAGAGTGCATTGAGAGAAAAAATTTATTAATGACTCAACAAGTTTCTTACAGTACAACTGTTCGGGAATTTGCATAGCTTGGTAATATTGTTAAAGAGTCTAGGAAAAGAAAAATGGATTTTTAAATTATTTTTTAATATTTCCTCCCAGTCACCATTCTCTGATGAACAAGCTTCAGCGATAAAATGTATATTATCATAACCCATTCGTTTACAGAGTAATTTTATATCTCCATCAGGTAAATTTGACTCAAACGCTATATTTTCAGTTATATTTTGTGGTGAAATTTGAATTTGTAATTTTCCATAAATTGAATAATCATCTTTTATTATAGGTTTGATTGAGTACTTGTACATATCATTTAAGAAATATACTGATAAATTTCTATATTTAATCCCACATTTAGAATATTCAAAATTTAAAAACATTTTTTGTAAATTAAACAATAAAATTATGGTGAAAAACCCATCCATGCATCTTGGACAATTCATTGTTAATCTATGAATAGATAGTACTTAATTCTTTTTTTTTTTCCTTTTAGTGTGTTTAATTAAACTGGTAATATGAATATTTTACACTTTTAAAAATGTAAATTAATAATAGCTCTTTTAAGAAAAGTGTTAACTTATAGAATATCAATAGAATATATAATTTCTGTATACTGTACAATGCCAGGCCATTAGTCATTGTTACACCATGAAAAAAATATATTTTTTTGATTTCTTCTCTCTCCATACTTAAGGAAAAGAAATGAAGAATATTATTATGTTTAATAATATTCTCCTCATCATTCCAAAGAGCAAAAATATGGATCTTTATCTTTAAATCTCAGAAATATCAATGTTTTAATGTGGTAGACCTATTTGCAATGGGAGCATAATTAGTTGTTAAAATCACAAAGTTATATTAGTGCCTTTGTATTTTGCGTACATGCTCTTGTCTAGCCGTGGTTCTAATGTTTTGATACCGTTTTGCTTTAAATATCCGCTGCTGCGGGACAAATAGCTTGCTCCTGCTGGAAAATTTTCTCACTATTTTAACTTGGGACAGTGTGGTTGCTCAATACCTCAACATAATCTAATGCTGTCATGCGATTACTCACTTCAGCTAAGTCCCTATCCCCATCAACTTGATGTAACCAAAGACCTTGAAACTCCCTCCCACATATTTTACGGTTTTTGTTGTGTATTTGGAATCATTCCATTTTCCAGGTGGTCTCTTAACAAACTCCCTTATCCTTGGATGCATTCCAGCCTTTGATTCATCAGAAAAAGCTACTTTTTTCCAATTCTGAATCTCCCATTTCCCCAGAAGTCCTTTCTACATCTTATGCACACACATAAATGATCTTAAAATCTGGTTAAAAGTGACACTACTTATTTTGTAGAAGAATATTACTAAGTAGGCTAATATCCTTCATTTCTTTTCTGTAAGTATAAGAAGAGAGAAAATAAAAAAAAATATATTTTTCATGGTATAACAATGCCTAATGACTGGTACTATATATATATATATATATATATATATATACTGTATATATATATACTTAAATCGCGTGCAAATCTTAATTATATACCAGTGAAAGAAAGTGTAATTTGCCTGGCAGAGATTTCATATTGGGACTGTATATTCTTTTTCCAGATATTGTCAAGTGTACAGTTAACTTAAGAATACAAAACGAAACAATTTGTTAAATCAGACTCCTACAAAAAAGTTCTTATTCCATTTCTCATAAAAATTTGTTATCTTCACAGCAGATCTTAGTACCGAGTTTACTTTAAAATAAACCTAAATCTCGCTAATCTTTTAAAGCCCGGTCTTCAAGTAATTTAAAAAAGAATCCTTTCTGATTTTTCAATTCTTCAACAGTTCCTATTTCTACAATTCTTCCTTGATCCATTACAACTATTCTATTGCTGTCCATTATTGTGTTTAATCTATGAGCTATGGTTATAAATGTATGAAGCCGCAAATGACTTTTCAAAACATTTTGAATAAGATTATCGGTTTCCAAGTCTACATTTGCAGTTGCCTCGTCAATCAATATTAAATATGACTGCTTTAATAGAGCTCTTGCCAAACAAATCAATTGTCTCTCCCCAATACTCAGATTTTTCCCCCCTTCAATCACATTCGATCTCAATTGGTCCTCTGAATCATTAAACTTTTTGGATAATTGAACTTTATGGAGGCTTGTCCAAACTTCTTCATCAGAATATATGTTACAAGGGTCTAAATTTGATCGAATTGTCCCAGAAAATAAAACTGGATCCTGTGGAATGACAGATATAGCTGATCTAGCCATGCTGAGACTAACATCTTTAAGTATGTCAACTCCATCTAAAAAAATTTGTCCTTCAACATCAGCCATTCTCAGAAGGGCTGTTATAAGGGAGCTTTTACCAGCACCAGTCCGTCCAACCACGCCGATCTAAAAAGATATGATTTTGAAATGAAAAATAATAGTTTTCTCCTTCAGAAAAATAGGTTATATGTGGATCGAACCTTTTCTCCAGATTTAATAGATAAATTGACAGAGAATAGTGAGTACGGTAAATTAGTATCATATCTCATTGAAACGTTAACCAGTTGTAAATTTCCATTAGAAGGCCAGCAGGCTGGTATTAAAGATAGTTTCTTTTCATCCAAAAAATCTTTACTTTCTTCCGGTTCAAGATTACAGTACTCTTTAATGCGATCAACTGATGTCATCTACAAATATTTTCGAAAGAAAACTTATAATTTGTAATCATTAACAGTCATAGAACCTACAATTCCATCAACTAATAAAAAAGTCTTTAGACTAAATTGAAATCCAAACAGTACATTAGTAATATAAAGTATAGCCAAAATATTTATAAATGCTGTCTCAGGAGAGGAAAAATAAACACAAGCAATATTCGCAAATATTTGAGTGATAAACATCCAAGTAAAGAATATCCTGGTTGAAAATGTATTATAGGCGTTTAAAATATAAAAATAATGGAGATTCTTGCTGTTAGCTTCATAGAATTTATTCATTAATTGTTTTTCTCTTTCAAAACAACGAACTGTTGAAAGTCCAGTGAGAGTAGTATCTAACATTTCATAGATTGGACTAGCAGTTACACTGTCAAACCTCTTTAATTTACTGGAATAGCGTGTCATTTTGGAAATCGTAATAAAGGTTGCAAAAAATAATAGAATTATTGGAATAAGTAGGATGATTACACTGTATGTAGCCAAAGCCAATGATAACAACGTTCCTCCAGTGAAAGTTACTATTATGTCAATATTAAAATACAAGTACAAATCTATTAATCCCATATCTCTTGAAAATCTGTTTAGTATTCTTCCTTTTGGATAAATATTAAAAAATCTCATACCAGTTGACATTACTTTGGTGAACATTCCATTATGAAGATTGATAGAGCATAGGCAAATATTAATGTAATAAAGCATTTGTCTTCCAAGATCTAGTACAAAGATTAACAATAAGATGCTGATAACTTGAAAGAGATTGCTTGTTGACCATGCATTTGTAGCAAAAGTATTTACTATGGTATCAAGATAAATTTTCATGGTAAACATCAAACAAAACAAGAAGAGATACAGGACACATATGATATAGCTACCACTCTCAAAGTAAGCTTTATAAGTCCTCCAGTTGGATAATCCATCTTTTACTTTTTCTTCCACATATTGCTCATTCCCCTCATGTGTCACTAGTTCTTTATTCTGAGTACTTTTATTATCAATAATTAAAGATTGTATCTTTTCAACTTGTCTTAGAATACCATTTTCTAAGCAAAACACTCTATTGGCATGTTGCAGAAAGTTTACTTGATGTGACACAAGGATAACAGTTTTCTCCTTCAGATAGTCAAGTATACAATTAGTCATCACTTGTCTTGCAACACTCTTGTCCAATGCACTTAAAGGATCATCTAATATATAGATGTCAGCATCTCTATAAACTGCTCTTGCAAGACATATTCTAGACTTTTGGCCACCACTAAGCATTACTCCCCTCTCTCCAATAACTGTTTTATCACCTTTTGGCAAATTTTTTAAATCCTTTAAAAATAAAAAAATTGTGTAAATATGAATAAATTATATATTTCATTTCTTTATTTACCTCTTCAAGAGAGCACACTTGCAAAACTTTTCTGTATTTTGTGGAATTGAATTGATCTCCAAATATGATATTACTCATAATTGATTCATTTAAAAGCCAGGAATCTTGGGATAAATATGACTTCTTTAATGGCATGTTGACTAATCCAACCTTTGGCTTAAGTTCTTCAAGTATTGTTAAGAGCAGAGTACTTTTACCAGACCCAGTCTTTCCATAAATACCAATTAGAGATGGAGATTCAATAAATAGGTTTACATTTTTTAAAATCATTTTTGAATATGTTTTTTCTTTGACTTGCCAGTTAAAATAAATATTACTAAGTTTGAAAAAATTAGAGTTATTGTTATCTTTGACCAGATTTGAAATCTTCATATTGGTGTTTGTTACTCTGTTGTTGAGGAGTAATATTTCCTAAATGTGGAAATAAAATTATAGATCAATATGTCTTAAGAAACTTTTACCAACCTCTACCCTCTCAATACAAATTTTATACTCTTGTATTCCATATATAAAAGTTGGCAAAATGTAAAATATATCAACATCCAAAAGAAACACAAGACCAATAAATCTCAAAATAGCAGGAGGATTTAGGGTTTCTGGTCGTGTTAATTTTGCTACTATAATAGCAGAGACAACGACGATTTTGACACCTAGGGTACTAAATATTCTAAAAGCTATTGTATATATAAATGATTTCAAAAGTTTCAACATTTCTTTTCTTCTCAGGGCAATAAGATTTTGAAAGAAGTATTTTTCCCAAACATGAATTTTTATAGTTTTAATCCCAGATAAAATTTCATTCATGAAATGTATTCTTTTGTCAGTTTTAGAGGCAATCTTTGATCTCATTAAGCCTTGCTTATAAGCCATATATGTCTGAAATATGCAAGTACCACAAATCATTACAAAGCAAGTAAATCCTGTAGGAAAACCATGAAGAATTCCAACTATAAGTGAAGTTGAGATTATAGCAACTATGGAACCAACGGCCATGGCAACATATAGAATAGCATATGGAATTTTTTCTAGATCAGTAGAGAAAACTGCCATAATTTTCCCTGAACTTATTTTCAGTAAGCATTCATAATCAATAGTTAAAATCTTTTCGAAAATACAGCATCCCAGAGCAGACTTTATTGCAAGACCACACTTTGTTAATGCGATAAAAACAAAGTTAAGGACAATACTTTCACCCAATGAACAGAATGCTGTTTAATTAATAATATTTGAGAGATTTTTTGTATATTTATTTACAAAAAGTAATAGCTAACCTATAATTAATACTATTGCATAGCTTTTTCCATTTGCATTTTTCATAAGTTCATTCAGTAGATCGTACACTAAAAATGGAACAGCAAATCTGGTGATTTGCTTTTAAAAAAGAGAACCTCTTTTGTTAATAGGTCAATTCATTTAAAAAATATTATAATGCTTGATACTAACAACTAGCAATCTGATAAGTGTTAGAAAAAAAACTGTTCCTTTAACCTTGTCGAATATGATTCTGAATAAGTGAAATTTTCGAGAGAAAGATAATTCTTTCATATCACTTGAATTGTAAAAAATAAAGAAAAAAATTAGGTTTTATCCTTTTCTTTTATTAAAAACTTACTTTTTAATATTTTTGTGCCAAATTTCTGCATCCAGTGATTTCAATCTTTCAAATTCATCTAATCTATTAACCCAATCTTTACCTTTCATTAGATAATATACCCAACTGTTATTTTTGGAATTAAGAAGAAATATTTTAGTTTATGAATTTTTTCAATAGAATACTTAACGTTACTAATAATTTTGAAATACAAGATGCGGTGGTTTCTGGATGTGGCTTTTTCATTGTCTATTGAAAACAACAATCTTTTTTCCTGTCAGTGAAAATCTATTGTTTGAAGCTGGTCAACTAAGTTAACAGTATTGGTTCTTCTCTGAAACAAATGTATGGGTATGGTATACTATGAATTTCAACTGCTATTAAATAATTGCTATTCATATCAAGTCTATCACAGATAACTCACTTTCTTTTATTTAAACTTTTTTTAAATGGGCATATAGTTGAATATAACGAAATTATAAGATTTAATACTTTAAATACTCCAATTGGGCTCTATTATATTAATATCTGGGTTATTTGCAGGCTGGCTGTCTATGTTTTTATTCAGATACATCATTCATTTTTTTGATGTACGACAACTGTCTCCATTCTCTTGTAATTTGTATATATTTATCAACCTAGGAGAGGCTTTCCACAATCCTTTATCTCCGTTACGCTTGATATACCTAAACACCTTATAACAGGGAAACTGCTCACTAATGTTTGTAAGTTTATTCTCTCTTATTATTAGTTTATTTAGTTCGTTAAAAAACGATTATTTCGATGTTTGATATAGAAATATATGAAAATAATGTTGGAAACTTACTTATAATCTTCTAATAATCTCAGCAGTCGAAAAGAAATGGAGGGAAATACAGAAGAAAATTTCACTATTATATTCATATGATGAATGAAAAACTTTTCAGTACTAAAAGCCACAGCTTGAATATCTAGTTTAAGGTGAATTGGAAGTAAAAGCCAGTCTATTGTATACTATACAGTATATATACAATTATATGTGACATATTAGAAAGTTTTACAATACTAAAAACGTCTAAAGAATCATTGAACTATTCATTTTTATTTAAAAAATAAATAATAAATATTTAATATCCATAAAAATTTTACACTCGGGTATTTTCAATAGGGAAACTTCTAACACCTTGGTCTTTAGCTGATTATCATAACACTTCATTATTCACACAATATTTAAAAAAATTCAAAGATTTTGAATAGTTCTTACAATATATAATTATTATTTTAGCTATACGATAGTCTACTTGTTACGCTTTGAAAATCTCTACTGCTGCCGGTGTTTTACAACCGATATTTACCGAAAATATATATTCTAGTTTATAAAGAAAACAAGCTGGAATAATCAAGGATTTTCGTTATTATCAACTTCTATTCTTAGATGTCTATAAACAATATGATTCGGAATTTTTTCGATTTGCGAAAGTGTGACTCCCTTTATCCGAGAGACATACGTCATCACCCCCAAACCAGCTATGTACCCTGGCCCGCTTTATATTATTATTAATACAAATATTCTTCAAATAGGAAGAGAAGAGGATAGACACTATATAAATATACTTGTTTTTTCCAATTATTGAGTCAAATTAGAAGAAAAGTATGTCTTAGACAAATACACGCCAATTTAAATATTCTGCCTATATAGTTTGGTCGTTTTTCTTTGTATCTAACTTACATTTTTTCCTATGAACATACATAATGAATAAGACAATTGAATTTTTCCAAAGAAATTAGGCAGACAAATATTTAATAAGTATATATTATTTATAAACTTATTGTACATTCTTGTACACAAATACACGCCATTTATTGTATTTTTTTTCAAATAAATAAGTTATTAAATTGGGAAATTTTCGAGAAAACTATCCAATTATTCAATAATTTCCTTTTCTTTTTATGAAAGATACATCTATTTTCAGTATTTCATTTATAAAAATAAAACAGTTGATCAATTAAACCGCATTTTACTCATTTAATTCCTGCTCTTGAATGCAACTTGTTTATAAAGAAGATGGTGATATATTGCATATTTTCCTTAATCTTTCTTATTCAATCAACAGGTAAGCCTCTTCTTTTAAAAAATCTTTGATGTTTTCTTCTTCAACTATCGCCGAAATGCAGATGCTATTTGCTCTTCTAATGATAATTGCTTGGCCAATGGTCAATGTATAAATGGAAATTGCGAATGTGACTATCCATTTAATAATGAAGCTTGTAATATGGGTAATTGGTTTATATTGTCTATACGCTTGCTCTTAATTAACTCTTTGCTATATAGGAGCTAAATACTATTACGAGGAGGGAATTTCCGATGGAGATATTATTGCAGTTTTTCCGTCTCTCAATTCAACTGAAGAATGTCTCGAAAAATGTCAAAGTAAACCGGAATGTATTACCATTGGTATAGGAGTTCGAAATAATACAACAGTCTATTGTTCACTGAAGGAAAATACAAAATTTCCCATTAAAACATTCACAGCCTTTGACAATATAACAAAATTTTATACATTTCTATCTAAAGGTTGTTTATTTCTTTTAGACTATAAAGTGTCTAAATAAATACTCTGATTGTATTTTTCTCTTGAAAACAGATTCAGAATTATCACTTTGCGGACAAGAAAATGTACAGAATTATCTCATAAAAGTGTGTCTTCAATATCTATGGTTAACAGCCACTCATTGCTCATTAAATGGATTTGAAAAGCTTTACAGTCAACAATATTATTTATTTAACAAATACTCAACACCTGCTGCTCTAAAATCAGAAATGAAACAGAAAATTAATTCGAATATAGCAGCCGAAAAACATCACACACAAGCCGAACGCAGAAACTTATGCTACGGTTTCATATCTCGTGGAGAGTATAATGTAGCGTTAAATAAAAAAGTTTCGTCTTTCAATGGTTTAACTGAAGAACCACGCCACATTTATGACAAAAAACATTTGGTTGATGGTATTACTCATGCTGATTATTTGTCAGGTGGATGTACACATATGAATCCTGTTTATTATGACCATAAAATACGGCTATTTGTTGATTTAGAAAGAGATTATATTGTCAATTCAGTTGTCCTCTATAGCTCAAAAAAGCTAAGTGTGTACAAATATCATTTACTTGTCTTACACAGGTGTTTCGAATATACTTGCACATATTTACATATTTCAGCTTGGGATCAACATGTCGAAATATACATGTTGAAGGATAAACCAAATAACGTTGTTTTTCAACCGTTCGATGGGGAAAGATGTGACTATTCAATATATGTAAAGTCCAGAGGAGAGAAAACAAAGATAACTTGTAAATATAACATAGAAGCTGGGCGTTATGTGACATTGGTAACGTGGAACCAAATTTTTCTATGTGAACTTGAAGTCTATACGAGTAAGTAAGGGTGAGAGGGAGAGAGGAAATCGGGAGGAAAATTCAATTTTGTTTATATTTTACAGACGATTTAGCTCTTAACACTCAAGTTGCATCGTCCAGCGTAAAGGATATAAATAGCTATCCCGGCTTTGCTGTCCTAGAAGATTCATCTAGATATGATTTTCAATCATTAGATGAGCAAGATTCTTGGATGAGTGTCTACTTGAAGGCGAAATATTTAATCTATTGGCTGGAATTATTTAAACTAGAATTAAAGAAATTTAAAGTCTATACAATCAATCGAAACTTTCTAATTGATCAAAGTTTTCAAAATGACGAATTGTCGTATTCTAATGAAAATGCAAACAAAGTTAATACAAATCATCTTGTTATACCGTGCACGAAAATTTTATCTGGGGTTTTTGTTGCATTAAAATCATCGGAAGGCTTCATGTTAAGAAAACTGGAAATATATGGCTTTTACGAAGGAGAAACTGGTACTTGGGCCAAATTCATAATTTTATTTATAATAATTGCTAAAAATTTGTTTGGTTTTCTTTTGTTTTTTAGATATTGAAAATTTTGCTTATGGCAAACCAGTTTGGATTCCTTCAATGGACCAAAATTCATTCGCCTATTATGTAACGGAAGGATTTAGTGAGCACTCATTAACAGCTATTGCTACACTTGATAAATGGATGATAATTGATTTATTAAAGTTGTATCGAATTGATCAAATTGCAATTCAGATGAGATCGTCGAAAGAAAGTAAAAAAAATTAAATTTTAGTTTAAAAAATGAAAAAATGAAAAAATTTTTTCTTTCAGTTCAAGATGTTGAAAGATATTCGAATTACTTCAAATTCTACTATAAGAGGGAAGACATAAACATATCTGACAATGGCATTGATGATACTACTACAGCTATAAATTCTGCAACAGTTGCTGCTGACACTACTTATAATGATGATATTACTACTGTTACTAACCACAGCACTCCTGAGAGTTACACTGCTATTAGTAGTAATACTAAGACTTCTGCTCCTGTTGCTAGTACCGATAATAGTCCGACTACTGGTACTAGTAATACGCATAAAAATCCTATTAATATACAGAATCTTAGTGTACCACCTCTCAAACAACAGAATGCAAATGGCAGCAATAATATTAATACTGTTTCCACTGTCACTCCAGCTTCTACTCCTGCTTCTTTCCCTGCTTCTTCCTCTGCTAGAACTACTAATATAATTAATACTAAAACTATTACTACTTCTACAAATACAAGTACAGCTGATTCTATTACTAGTGTTAGTATCAATGATGGTGATATTAGTAGTAGTAATACTGATTTTGCTGTCAGTGCTACTACTGCTACTACTGCTACTACTGCTACTTATGGTAGTACTGCTGATTACAGTAGTGGAAATGATGAGATTAAATCCGATTGTCAAATTATTAGTAATATTCATGCAAATAGATATGGACGCTTGTTAGTATGGAGTTGTCTCCAAAAAGTGAATATTGGTAGATTTGTTTTGATACAAAATTTCAAAGGAAAACCCTTAGAAATGCGACAAGTTTACGTTTTTGGTGGAAATGCTAATACCGAGTATCCGTTGAAAAATATTCCTTTGACTAGCGCGTCAACAGTAGGCAATTTTGATTATGATAAATCACCTTTGAAAGCCATTGATGGACATTTTACGAAATATTCTACACCCAATCTATTATATTCCTGTACAACTGTAACGCCAGCTGTAAAGTTATTAATTCATTTTGATAAACTTTCATACGTTAAACAAGTACTAATTCAGCCGAGACAAGACCAAGCCAATATTATAAATATTAATGTTAATATTGAGAGTAAAAGTGGAAGTTTAAAACTACTCTGCTCAAATTTTACTTCGTCGACGATCGTAAATTATCTTATTCAAGTAAATTGTTCAATAGCTTTATATGGAGATCAATTATCTATTGAACAAATTTACACTATTCATTCTCATGATATTGATATTTGTGAAGTGAAAGTGTTTAAATTCGATTCGTATGGTAAGTGTATATTACATTAAAAAAGGAGCAGGAAAAATACGTCAAATGAGGGTAAAATCTTCGGTTAGGTCAAGGCACTTTTAGGCCTAGTAGCAACCAGACATTTACCACCTACAAATTATGTTGGTGATAAACACAAGTCTAAACCTCCATCAATAGTTAAATAATTATTTTTAGGGTAAAATCAAGCGTTTTCTCCTGCATCCAAATGGTAACACATTCAAAGAGATATTTTCTATCTTCTCTATCTTTTCCTTTCTTTAACAGAAAAAGATATATCGAAGAAATGCATAAATAATGATAAAAGAAGATTAGCATTGTCCAGAAAATTTCAATCGCCTTCAAACGAGGATTGCCTTATTTATGCCAATATAAATACATTTGACAAATGCGTAGAATTTTGGAAAAACACACAACACGAATTATTCACCTATGACTTTAAACATAAAACTTGTTGTACACACAATCCGAATTCTACCATTCTTAGTAATCTATTAAGTCACTCTATTATTGGACACTTTGTATGTGTTAATGGAAATTATACATGTTAGAGAAAGAGAGAGAGAGAGAGATGATAAGTTTGAGACGGCAGCGAATGATATTAACAGAAAACTTATCTCTTTCCTTTTAAGAACAAAGTTTTGCCACTCACCCTCTTGTTTTCTCTCTCTCTCTCTCTTCTAATCTAACTCTTATTGGACCTCAAATTGCAATGAATGTAAACATTATCTATCCATAATTGTTAATATAGAAATGTAAATATTTATTTTATAAATAAATAACAACATTTTGTTTCTGAACAAAACAGTAATGCCTTTGAAATTGGTAAGTAGAGGCACTCTGAACATTTTCTTACTGTGGGGAAAAAATGTCAGCTTCGGACACTGTAGTAGAATATTTTTTGTAACGGAATCGTTTTCGACGAATTGCTATGGTTCATTTCATTTAGCAGATATAAAAGATATATTGTTAGAGTAGGCTATGTATTAAAATTTGTGTAGTTGTAGTGTTATTTTTTGTATTTTGATGAGGTTTAAGTTGTTATCGTCTTCTCTCAATCTCTCACTTCCCATAGAGAATTACCTTCCCATTCTATATCATCTAAGAGCATGGATTTAGCAAAAAACAGAGAAGAACGAGTAGATAGGATGAATGCAAAAGGGGAAAGGTGTGGGATGTTTATTTTCTACAAAAGATTAAAAAAATGCTCAAATTTCCTTACGGAAATTACATTTAAAAATTGTAATTTGAATGAGAAACAGTGCTTAGCCATTGGTCAGTTGTTGTTGGAATGTTGCCAAATAAACATGGTAAATCTCTCTAGAAATAAGATGATTGGAGAAGGATGGTTGCATATTTGTAAAGGATTAGAGAGTTCAGCTGATAGCTTAAAAGAGTTAAATTTCAAGCATTGCAACTTAAATATAAATCAGTGTCACTTCATTGAAGAATTATTGAAAAGTTGTTCCAAAATTGAAAGGATTAATCTATTTGAAAATGAAAATATGAGAAGTGGTTTTTCAAAAATTTGTACACAGCTGGAAAATTCTTCGAATAGTTTAAAATCAATTAATTTTGGGAAATGTCACCTAGACATAAATATGTCAGTATCAGTAGTAAATCTAGTAAAGAAATGCAACAAAATTGAAAGAATAGACTTA